TGCGATTTACGGATTATCGTTGCGATTTACGGATACGCGTTGCGATTTACGGATTATCGTTGCGATTTACGGATACGCGTTGCGATTTACGGATACGCATTGCGATTTACGGATACGCGTTGCGATTTACGGATACACGTTGCGGTTTACGGATACGCGTTGCGATTTACGGATACGCGTTGCGATATACGGATACGCATTGCGATTTACCCATACGCGTTGCGATTTACGGATACACGTTGCGATTTACGGATACGCGTTGCGATTTATGTGTTCGCGTTGCGATTTTCATATTCGCGTTGCGATTATGGAAAATCGCAATGCGAATTTGTACTATCGCATCGCGATTTTCAAGAATCGCGTTGCGATTCTGGAAACTGATTTGCGATTCTGGGGATCGCGTTGCGATTTTTATTTCGCGTTGCGATTTTGTTGGTCATTTTGGCAAATCCAAAAAAAGTTGGTTAAAATCGTATATTATAACTTTTTTTTGGTCACTGAGGCGATTTTCTCTATTTTATCTGGCGTCATACTGATTCCAACAAACAGGGGCATGAGAAACAGCTAGAGAAAGCTTACAAGCACAAGGCCAAAACCATAAAAAAAAATACTGAGGAAGACTGAGTTTCTTTTGTAATCATGAAAATTGTCTAAAATAATCTGGGAATGGAAAGTTTAAACAACACTTTCCGTTGTGAGAACAAGGAACCTTTCTCGATGTACACGCCTTAAATGGTGGGGTTTTGTTGTATTAGCAACTTAGAAACCAAAGAATTCCGAGAAAATGACCGAAAGAGTTCATACAAAGTAATAAAAACCGGTATGAGTTCATACAGTAACGTTTTGCCGGAACTTTTCTAAATGATAAAATTAATTATTGGAGCTGGGAAGATAAAGACAGAGAGACAGATTCATATGAGTTCGTCTTGTAAAACAAAAAAGAAGAAAATCTAAAGGAGAAGAGGATTCTGTAGCCTAATTGTGTTTATGTACTCTTTTTTTTAATTCGTAAATCCACATTTGTGATTTGTTTTTATATATTTGTTGTGTATGATCCGAGGAGTTGAAATGATCATCTAGTTTAGTTGATAGAGCACAAGGTTTTTAACTTTGAGGTTGTAGGATCGAGTCTCATGGAGGGCATTTCATAATTCGGAGGTCTCCTACGGAAGCTGTTCTCCCCCTAGTGTTGAGGGCAACCTACTATCTTACCTCCCCTTACCCCATTACATATGAGAACAAGGGACAACCATTTATACTATGAGGAGTTGACTACATTAGAATCGAATGCCTACGGAATCTCAACACGTGTCTGTCCAGTGATGTACTGTAAGTTTACAATTGCAACATGTTGGTAATACAAATTTCCATTCCCCCCTCCCCGTTTTCTTGTCGATATGTACGGTTTAGAAAAAAAAAACATATTTTTTAAGTATAAAGTACGTTTTAAATACAAATAGAAAAACAAATTGACAACTTACATGGAGTATGTGATAGGATTTCTAAACTTATATATGATTTGGTTTATATACAACAAATTTATGAATATTTTTTTTTAATTATTTACGGATATGTTTATAAACACATTCGAAAAAATATTTATTTAATATTTTGAAGCATGTTAAATTAGTATGTTAATAAACATTAAATGAACACATTCATAAATGTTAAATGAATATACATAATTTAAAAAAAATAAAAATAATTTTAAAATTCTTAAATAAACATAAATATAAATTTATTTATTTAAATCAGGCATTATTAACATGGGCAATTTTACATGTTTTCTATTTAAAATTCAATATAAGATATATTTTTAAAGATGCCAAAGGAATCAGGAAGAAAACTTAGAGTGCGTTCGGTTCACGAAATGTAAGATTACTAGTGGGAATAAAAGATTATCGGGGAATAAGACTATTGAGATGTTATATTTTGTGTTTGGTTTGTTTAGCAGGAATGCAAGATTACCGTATTTGGTTAAAGGAATAAAAGATTACTGGAATGCATATTTAACCAAATTGTCCTTATTATATATTTTTTTTAACAAGTTGGAAAATATTTATATATTTTCTTTAAAAAATTTAAATTCATAAAATTCATATAATTTTTTTATAAAATTGAAAATATAAAAAGGTTTAATGAAAGGGTAAACTTTTATTTTAACCCCTGAACTTCATATAAAATTTTAATTATAGATTTTTTTTTGTAAATCTAAAATAGTTTAAAGATAAATTTGTAATTTAACCTTCGTAGAATTTTTATTATTCAATGACAGAAGAAAGATATTTTTGAAAAAAAAAATTAAGGGTATTTTAATCCAAAACACCGATAATCCAATAATACCTAAGGAAAAGGAAGTAATGACATTCTCGATAATATACCAAAAAAAATCTACTATTAGTAATAAAATATTACCGGGAATGAGATTCCCGACCAACCAAACATGAGAATGTAAATTTCATTCTAATAAAAATCTCACATTCTCCTAATTAAACCGCCCCTTAAGAGCGAAGAGAAGAAAAGGCCAACAAAATAGACTTTTACTTTAGAAATTTGAAGTTTTAATCAAAAGAAGTGGCAGCAACTGAAGTAGGTTTGTTTCCAATTCCCTAAATAAATGAGCAATCATGAGTGTGTGCTTTTGAAAATCTCTTTCTTCTAGTGTGACGGTGCAGACATTTCCCCCGGGAAGTATTAGGTGCCACACCATAATATACGATTAAAGATAAAATGTTACTGAAAATATTATTAAAAGTAATAACATTTTCGATACCTAAAATATTATTTGTTTTACCTGAATGTTAATATTAGACGCTATCTAGATATTATTGTTTTTATAAGAAATGTTAATATTAGGTGCTATCTAAAATTTTTTTTTTCCCAGAAATTAACTAGCGAAATTAACATTTCCGACAGAAAAAATAATGTTTAGATAACACTTTACTGGAAATATTAAAAAAAAAATATTTCAGATAGTACCTTTTATTAACCGTATATTAGGCTATCATACGGCAAAATTACCTCATTAGTGATGGCAAACGGGTACAATTTCGTAGATTTCGTACCGTATCCGCTCTAATTGGGGCGGGGAGGGGTATAATTTTAGTGAATAGTGGGCGGGTGTAGATTTAGAAAGTGATACCCGTCGCGGGTAGTGGGCGGCTAATGAGTTTGAGACCTTACCTACCCCGCATCCGCCTGCCCCACGTCCATCCGCCCCACATCCGTCCGCCTAGCTAAATATCTATTAAATTTTGGACTATTATGAATTTAAGTGTAATTTTAGAGACTAATTTATAAATCCTAATATTGTATAAGATATAACTTGTAATTTAACCAAATATTAGGGATAAGTTTATGCATAATTTTTCTTTCTTTCAAACCTCTCGTTACTGCGCCGATCTTTCAAACATCTGGTCTCCACTCTCCAGCTTATTCAGGTACGTTTATTCCCTTTTTACTTGAAATTTAATTTTTGCAAGAGTCATTTACGTAGTCATTTCATTTTAAGCTCCTCTACATTTCGTTTTAAGAGTTTAATTTTTATTTTCTCGTACTAATTTTTAATTATTTTTTAGATTCATCTCAATGTTTGTTTTAAGCTTAATTTCTTAATGTTCTGCAAATCTGTATCTTGTCACTGAACACCCACGTTTAGGCCCACAGAGTCAGATCGTTGCTTCTTAAACCTCCATTTTTAACGCCACTGAATAAAATTAAGTGTTAAGAGATTCAATGTCTTCCTTGTGCTATATTACTTTCCCATGTTCTTGTCCTTGAAATTAAATTTATATTTTTTTATCTTTTACTAACTGTAGAGTTGTCATTAGAATATGACATAAAATTTATATAGAGTCAAGTAAGCATCTTTTTTTGTTGGGATGTGTCAAGTAAGCTTCTTTAGTTTGTTATAGTAATATCATTTGTTTTTTTGTTTCTAATCTCTATCGAGAATCTTGTTTTAGGCACCTTCTAAACTATATCTTGAAATGAAACACCAAATTTACTGCTTTTCTTACTGTTAACATATAAATAGAGGAGTAAATGAATGCTCTACCCATATCTTTCGTATTTATTTATGATAAGTAAATGCATTGAAGAGAAATCTTTGTAATGATATGGTTGTCTTATCGTTTATGGTTAAAAGGCTGCATTTTTTTTGTTCATTTAAAAAGTTGCATTCTCCTTTCTAGAGAGCTGTTATTTTAGGAGGTCTTAAATCATCTCAGCGTTAGATGATGGTACACCTAGGGATGACAACTCAACCTGAACCCGACGGGTTTCGACCCGACCCGATCGGGTCGGGTTTTTTTTTAAAAAATTGTATTCGGGTCAGGTTTTTTTTAAATGTACTGTTCGGGTCGGGTTTAGGGTAAAAAATCCGACTCGACCCGACCCGAAAAATATATATAATTTTACCTATATATTTAAGAATAATTACAATATTACCCCTCTATATATAAATTTTTTCAATTAAATCACTATTTTTATTGAATAAAAATATATATATTTTAATTATTTTGGGTCGGGTCGGATGAAACCTTAATTTCTTTGGGTCGGGTCATGGGTGAAAGACCATTTCTTCTCGGGTCAAGTCAATGACCCAAAAACCCGACCCGACCCATTGCCATCCCTAGGTACACCAGTAGGGGAATTAAAGGAGGGCCCACTCATATCTTGGAAGCAACTGCAATGGTCCCACAATGATCTTTACATGCAATCCTTCCGTATATAACTTAACAAATTCTACCATATTTGGTCCAATATTAAATTCGACTCACCGGAATTACAAGCCAAGTGTTATTTGAATTTAACAACCAAATGCCGAATGAACAGACATATTATTCAAGTTGAAATCATGTTGATCGATAATCCGATTCAATCGGACCCACCGCCGTCTCTAATATTCCATCCGGTCCAAGCCATCAATGATAATAGTTATGCAATTGGTATACAAATTTTGAGTGAAACCCTGTAAAAGATTAACTGCCACTTCAAACGAGGGAAAGTGAACTCAGCTGCAAAATTCTCAGTAAAAAGAAGAGGTCGAAACGAAAAAGAAAGCAAGATTGTATGGTGAACACAACTCAAGATATTAAAAATATACATCTTATTTCTACTCTTGTGAAGCAGATGCGGCTTCTTTCAAGCATGCCCTCATCACTTTACCAAGCTTATTGCAAGCATCAAGGCAAAGCTGCATTGCCTGTATAAATATATAGAAGCAAATGTTAGAACCACAGCTTAAGCTTTTGTTATTTAGACTCAAGGTGAGTGTCGGATATCGGTATTTGATGGATACAATTATTTCAGGGGAAACTGAGACTGAAGAGTTCATGGCACTATAGGTAAAATTAAGGGTCAGTTTCCAGATACTATAGCATTTTGATTTGCAGGAATCAGATGGGCAAAATTTAAGCAAATCTAATGAGAAATAGATGGTAACATACCTCATTAATATCTGGAGTAGGCCATTCTCCCGTAAATGTTAGTTGAGTGACCTCGTAACGAGAAGGCATACATGTAAGCATTAAGCTTCCATCTTGGTAGCTTTCCTCTTCAAGAATAGGATCAATCACAAGGTTTTTCCCTAGACAGGCCTAAAAATCCAAAATCATAAGTACATGTGAAAAAGTTCTTCAAAGCGGAACTCGAACAGTATTCACTGTTGAAGGTTAGAATAGAAAGGACAAGATCATTCCATCATGTGTCAAAAGATTTGGATTTGAAGAATGTTAAAATGCCATGCAGCGAAGAACAAGCTTCTGAATATCAATGTGCCTTTTTGTTTTCCAGGTTGTAGCAATGTATTATCAATCCCACTTCCACTGTACTCAAACACCAACTAAATTAAGTATATCGCCAAATCTATTGGCATGTAACTGATATAAATGCACTAGCATCATCAATAATAACAGAGTCGTAATATTTTACTAGTACAGATAGTAAATGGCCTACGTAAATTGGACTTGGGAGTGAGTATCAGATAGGGGTATGCATCTGACACAGACCTTGACAGGCTCTTCTTCCTTTTTTCTTTTTATCCCCCCCCCCCAAAAAAAAAAATCTTCCAAGTTTAAAGGACAGTTTCTCATTCTCATGTTTGAATACGCATCAGACATATTTAAAGCAAAGTGAAATGAGAACAAACAAGCAGTAAAGCGTGCTCAAACTTATGTCTTCATAATAATCATAATGCTTAAGGCAAAACAAAGACACTTACCACAGAAACTGCAGCAACAAGGTCATACATCATGATCCCAGCATCTGCAAGGGCAAGACTAGCACACGATATCACCACAGGAAGATCACCTGTAACCAATGTTATGAAGATTATTAACAAATGGAAATACAAGAGTTTGGGGCATATCCGTAGCCCATATGAATTTTCATTTTATAACTAATTCTTTTGACACCCTACAATCATCTACAGGCTACAGCATTGTTAACAATTATTTACTGAAACAAACAAAAAGAATAGACTGGTTATGAAATAAAACAAAAATAAATGAAAAAGGCATCTGTATCAGAAAAAACAACAGGCCAGTTCCAAGCCTAATTACTAAGGATTGATGAGAAGACTTACTGCCCCCAGATTCCAACACCAATGCAAAAACATCCACAGTGGTCTTGGGAAATGTTTCCAACATTATTGCACCTTCTAAAGCTTTATGAAGCATTGACGAAAACTCCTTGTGATCTGATCCCTAAGGAAAGGGAGATCAAGAAATAGATCAACTAAATTGAAGAAAAGAATTAAAAGAGACTAAACAAAGATATTACATATAATCCAATGGCACCAGAAAAGATTGGCACTTCCAATCATCTTACATACCTGTCCTCGAACTGGAGTGCCAAAAGTTGTATAGCTGACATTACAATTTAACCTCCCAGTATCACTGTACATCATTGCTTTCTTACTTTCTCTTGGCCCAAAACTAGATAATTCAATACAAATAACACATGCATGTAGTGTAATCACAGAAAATATCAGTATTTGAAAGAAATTTTTGCAAAAGAAAGCGAAGGGTTATAAAATCTTAATAATGGTATAAAAAAGAATATGGAAATTTTCACACAGATGATGATATACTCACACAGATACAATGACCTTGGTATTCCCAAGCTCTGCATAAGCAGATCCAGAAGCAGAGTTTACTGCACCTGTCCTGAAAACTACAAAACACCAACATTTGAGGATTCATTTCAAGTCAGCAGGGCAGAGTACATGAAAAATCCATTTACAAGTAGAATTATCCATAATTTTTCTATAGGAATCCATCTTCCTTAGCTTTTAGATGCCTAAAAACTAAGAGAAAATCCATTGTCCGCAACATGACAACTATACCACTATGGATTTCTCACGCTCTCTTTTAAGATCAAACATGTGAATTTTATATAAAATAAGGAGTCAAAAGAACCAAAAATTGATAACATACTGGCACTGGTAATGACAAATCACAAAGCAGCAAAATCACGTCTACTCATTGAAATGGCCGTATTATAGAAAGCAATGGTGAACACTAGACTATTGAAAAATAGAATAAATTCTTTCCGTTGGTGAACTTGGTAGGAAAGATGAAAATTTTGAGAGAAAAGTCAACTTTCTTTCCATTCATTGCTAGGTAGAGTTGAAAACTGAGAAGAAAGAAAATGAAACTTTTAGGAAACGCATAATTTTAAACTAACTTACATCTCTCCCTCATTTTCTTTCCTCTTATCATCCCAATTTGGAATAGTTCTTTTGTGCATTAGAATGGAAAATGGTCATCTCTTTTATTTTATTTACTCTCACTTGTCTTTACTACCAAGCATACTCAAAATTTAATTTATTTCCACTTTCCCACTACCTCTTTCCATCTCCCCACTCGACCAAGCACACCCTTAAGCATGCAAATTCAAATGAGAAAGGAGCTATAAGAGTAAAAGATATAACATTCCCGCACAGGTAATAAAAAACCGCAATGAAGCAAAACCACTTAACTACTCAATGAAATGGCCTTATTCTAGAAAGCAATGGAGAACACAAGACTGTCCCATACCCATGTAATGATCAACACCGAAATAAAGAGACGCACAAAAGAAAAAGGAAATATTATTTTCCCCCCTCATGGATGATTAACAAAGAATCAATAGACAGCTTACTAGTATCTCGAAGATATCATAGTTTTCAACTTTATTTGCAATATAAAAATTAAAATTAAAACCAAGTTAACAATAACCATGATAATGGTAAAAACAAAAAGAATAATAATAATAAGAAGAAGAAGAAGAAGCTTTACATGCTGGTCGACACTGGTGGAAGCCGCGGCCATCAGGTCGGACCCAATCGAGATCATTGTCTTTGAAAATTGGTGGGCGGGTTTTCTGGACAAGATTCGGCGAATACGTTGTCGGAGCTGAACCGGGCTTTGCGGCCATACTTTTTCTTCTTGATTTTCTCCTCTATTCACTAGTACATCCTTTCCAGTCGCAGCTCTGCTTTTAACTTTCAAGTAGTTTCAGGTTTTACTGTTTCGTCTGCTAGGACAAGACGATGCGTTTTGACGAGTAGGAAGATAATAGGCTAAATTACACCATTCTTCACTGAACTATATTCTCTCTCTTATTTTACTCAATATATTTTCAAATTTTCTAATTTACTCGTTAAACTTTCAAATTACTCATGTTTTAATCACTCTCAATTATTTATTATTATTTTTGTATGACGTGGTATTTTTTATTATTTAATATAAATAATTGAAATATAAAATAAAAATAAAAGATGATCGGACGCCACAACTAGCCACCATTGATCAATGCCAACCATTATAGATGGTGATCGTTCGATTTGAACTTAATAATAGGAAATGAGGACAATTTAAGACTTTTGAACAGATTCTATTGAATGCAATTGTCACACCCCAAAAATTGGGGATTAAATGGCGAGTATTTAACAATTTTAGTGTCTTTGTGTGAGTGCCCTAAGAGTGTAGGGATTTCTGTTGTGTTTAGACCAAGGTTGAAAAATAAAAAATAAAAAACCAATTTCAGTTTTGCTTTCAGAAAATTTCCCCATATTTTGAAAATTTGCAACCGTATCTCATCTTTCTCTACATTCGAGTTTTATTCGACTCGTCATTGATATGGTCTCCGTTGACGACACCGTCGACATCGTTCGATTCGCCTTGAAATTTTTTGCTCAAATGGTGTTGACCTCGTTCTCGTTGCCACCGTCGTTAGCAAGGGTGAAGCAAGATAATTTTTGGGTTTTGTTGAAGCCATGATTCCTCATGTTTTAAAATACAATTCAAGGAAAAATGGTATAATTTCGACCACCTGAGGTGTCTCACGTGCTGTTGCTGAGCGTGTGGAAAGGTTTTAACTGATTTAAATTATTGAACCGGTCTGTTTAAACCGGTTCACCTTAATCGGTTTTGAACCAAATTGATTTTGACATAACCCGTTGACTTTGACCAATAGACCCATCGACTTTGATCGACCTGACCCGTTGACTTTAATCGTTGACTTTTTCGCCGACAATTGACTTTTTCTGAAGACTTCTATCATGAAGTTTTTTGATGTTATGAGTCCGTTTCCGCATTCCGTTTTGTCAAATTATGACCCTGAAATCCTATTTTTACATATTTTAGGATTTTACAGTATAATTATATTAAGGAAATTCTGAAATTTATGGACTTATTCTTTGATATTATATTCTAAAGGTGTTCATATGTCTTTGTATCGTTCTCCAATAAGTCTGAAGCGCCTCTATTCAGCTCAGCTTGACTCCGCACATTCAACCCGAGATACATGTTTTCCTTCCACAGGACTTAGTACTATTGTTCATGAGAAGGTAAAGCTTAGTCATTATAAGTTAGCTCATATAGGTGTGTCCCTTAAATCTATTTGTTACCTTTGATATTATATGCTATTACTATGATAATATTTATACGTATTTTGGCTACGTGTATATGGGATATGATTGTTTTCTGATTTCAACATTTTAAGTATGTACATTGATGCATTCTTGATTTTGTATGAGATTTGATCCCTTCCTCTTCATACATGAGATTATATCCTCGTCTTGTTTCTGTTTAGGATCTTCTTTAAAGGGCTAGACCCCATCCCAATTTTTGTATTCTAACTTGGGTACCTCTTCGGAGGGTAATGTTCTCATCCTGTTTATTCGCGACAAAAGGTATAATTGTATGTTATTGATGTTATACTCTGGTGAATAAGTATGGTGTTATTGTTTACGCATTGTTTGTGTAGTTTATATATATATTGATCTATAGAGGACACACTGAGCTTTGTATCTCACTTTATTTCTGTCTTTCCTTTTCAAATTATCCAGTTATAGAACGAGTTTGGTTATCGGTGGTGTGGTCTCGATAATGTCATGTATGGGGTTTAATATATATTTTCAACCTCTTTGATTGTGGCGTGAGTTTATTCTTGATATTGTATTTGATAAATGATTTGTTAAACAAAATTTGTTTGTGAATCATTTATGTGATCAAAGTGGTCACTGTAATTTAGTTGTAATTCTTGGGCTGGTCTAGGGGTTACATCAATAGGTTGAGTGAGACCATTCAAGACTTGGAAATTTGAATGTTAGATGTCAACTCATCTGGTTAAAGCTCAAATGAGCAGAAATATGAAAAATTAAAGTGTATCTTGCTTAGCTTCAAGCTAGTGAAGTCATCAAAAAGATCATGCACCTGCATCTTCAAACTTCACCTGATTTCTCAATTTTGTATAACTTTCTGTACAAACGAGAGAAATGTGATCAAAGTAAAAAAAAAACTGTGACATAGTACTAATACAATTCATCTTTGTCCCATTCTTCTGAATAAATTCAACAAACAATACAATATGAAATAAATAATTCTAGAAAACCCTCCTCTCTTCCTCTGTGGTGCCCTTTTAAAGAGTACAAGGCAGAAAAGAAAGGAGGAACCTGTGGGTAATGTATGTTAATCTTGTATGTGGGATAGCTCTTCTCTGGGGGACCTAATATTTGCCATGTGGAACGACTCGACTTGAGTCGAGGTTCAGTTAAGTCCATTGCTTCATCATCGGGGACACACAAACTCCTAGCATTGGAACTCAAAAGAATCAGTCTCTCCATGCACTCAGTAGAAAAGGCATCCCTTTGTCTTTCGGCAAGTCCGATACCGTCCATATGCGATGGCAGTGTGCTTTTGGTTGACTTACTAGATGTAGTTGGCATGTGCTACTCTGTATCATATAAAGCCTCAATTAAGCTTCATTCTTCATGTTAAGGGTGGATGACATCTGCATAGTGAACATAAAATGGTGATGTTATTGGATTCATTTAAAAAGGTAAGCAGACATGGAAGCCCTCCAATCAGGGTTTCAAAAAAACGTTCTGAAAACACGATTTCGTCCGCGATATAGAGGTTTCGCCACCGTCCGAGTTACCCGTTACACCCGCAATAGCGCCCGCGACGGCCAAAATAGCGGTAAACCCGAAATGACCGAAACCGCAACCACGATTTGAAACCCTGCCTCCAATTGTTCAGTGTAAATAATCATGGAGCAGAGGCAAACAAATCGCACAGTAGCAGCTTCTAAGCGGATTTCAAAACATTACCTGGAGAAAGTTTGCATGAATGTTTCTTCTTTTGGATTTATCTGGAGCAATAGTAGAGAGAGTTTGAACAACCTCACTCATTTTCGGTCTAGCATCAGGGTCCAACAGCAAGCACTCCTTTGCTAGGTAAGCCATTACCTGCATCTCTTCTTCTGGAAACTTGCCTTTCAAATGAGGGTCAGCTAACTCTGAGGTCACTGGTTTACAATCCTGTAACAAATGGGTAGCCTGAATGGGAGACGAAGTGTAAACAAATGTTTTAAGCATCATATCATCAATATCCAGATACTTTAGCTCATGCAAACAAGCTACTTCACCCATATAACAAGACTTTCTTCTTTATTGTTTGATTTATGGATCGGTTGTCGATCAGTGATCAGTTCCAAAAGAACTACACCGAAACTGAAAACATCTGACATAAGTGAGGCTCTTCCAACAATTGCATACTCTGGTGCAAAATAATCAAAGGTTCCTTGCATTCTTGCTGGAGAACTGGAACTGCTGGGAACTCCATCAGCTCTTAAACGTTTGGCCATGCCAAGATCGGTTATCTGCACATGTTCAGTACTTGTGTTAGAAATCCATATGTACGTGGTTTATTTTAGCATCACATTGTCAAGTGTACTCGATATGCATTTATTTGTTTTATCCTTTTGCTATCCAGTTCTTGTCAAGAAGAATATTTGTGGATTTTACATCTCTATGCAAAATTCTAGGAGCAGCCGCTTCATGAAGATATTCCAAGCCCTTTGCAGCTCCCATAGCGATCGAAACACGAGCTTCCCAGGAACTATTCTGCCCCCAAATCCCATTCAAACAATCCCTCAAATTACCATTAGTCATGTACTCAAATACTAGCAGTCTCTTAGCACGTTTCCCACTGGATTTCAAACAATAGCCAAACAAAGGCACTACATGACAATGATGTAGCCCCGACAACATCTCAACCTAAGCAGAACAACGCTGTAAATACATTATTGTGTTTTGGGGGAAAACATAACATTCATTAAAATAAATTAGACTTCTCATTAACAGAAGAAGGCAACTTGAGATTGTACCTCTTTCGAAAAGATGGAATCTGCATCTGGTCCTCCTTGAACTTTAAGTCGTTTTACTGCAACAATTCTTCCATCCTTGACCTGGCCTCGATACACATAACTACTTCCTCCAAGTCCTATGAGGTTAGAATCAGAGAACTTGTTTGTTGCATTTTCCAGTTCGGAGTAGGCAAACTGAAAAACTGTTCCAAGTATAGTCCCCATTTTTCTCTGATGAAGGAATGTAGCCTTTTGAAAACAACCTGAAAAAGACCAGACATCATGCTTTACATATCCAAACCAAGTTCAGAATGATGAATACTAGAGTGCTAGTATTGCAAGAATATGGTTGAGAGCTCTGAATAGAGTCATAACTAAAAATGATCATGTCATTAAAGAATGGAAGTTTTAACATATTACAGTTTACATACCTGGAATAGGCCTAGTGGGGTAGCTGGCGTTAATTTTAGTTTCTGACACCAAAGAACTCTTATGACTTATTAAGTTGGTAGCACTACTGCAACTAATTTCTATATCCGACAAGAATATTGAGTGTTGGATGGGGCACTTGTCCTTTCGATAGAAATAGCATGTTACCAAAGCAAGGAATGCAAGAGTTGTGAAAATTACAGAGAGTAATAGAACAATTACGATAACGTTGTTAGTGAAATGCTTTCTTGAAGCTGGCACCCCAGGAAGTGACCCTGTCAAAAACAAAAAAAAAAAACAGTATAGTACCAGTAAATAAGCTCCTAATCCTTGATCCCAACACTGGCCGCTTCCTTCGAATAAAAAAACTTAGTACCAAAGATTAGATAGGCATTAGT